TTACAGAGATGGGGGAAACTAGAGCTCAGAGAAGTGAAGAGTTTCACAAAGAAGGTCTCATAAAGAACCAGTGACTAAATCCGGACTTGACCCCAAGCTGTCTGCATCCAAACGCACTGCTTTTTCCCTTACAACACAGCATAGGGGAGACGGATGCCTGGTGGGGGGATTCGCAGGAGCCAAGACATGGACATGCAGCAGGGCAGGTGTTGGGGAGATATGTGGCAGTGGTCTGTGCCCCCAGGGCAGCAAGGCCGGGATAACTGACAGAGTCTTAGTGGAGAGTGGCATGGTGTGAGCAGTGCCACGGTGGTGATCACCTGATTAACGTGGGTAATTAGCCACCAGTCATTATGTGACTTGCTTCACTTGGGCTGATTGAAGGGAGCTGGCTGGTCAGAGGCAATGGAGGGCTGCTGATGGCTGACAGCGGGATCTGGTGGGCTGCGGAACTTAATTTCTTCTTGGGTTGAAAACAGCCCCATGCCCTGGCTCAGGGCTCTATCGGTCCCCAGGGTCCAGGCCTGGCCCTCATGTTCTCATTCAGAACAAGGCCCTGCCCACTTGCAAAGAGCAAGCTTGCTTGGAAGTAGCAGGCAAGGCTTCAGGGGATAGGAGGTTCATACAGGATGGTCAACTACTGACCCTTTGGTCAGTGAGAACAGGGGGCTATAACTCTCACCCCACAGAGCCAGTAGGAAGTGGAGACCGAGTTGTGAATGGCCAGGGTGCCTCATGGGTGTGCTGACCTCTGGTCTGGGATGTTGCCATCCTGTTGTCCACCCACTGCCTGTCAGAGAAAGGGCCAGCCTTACGGTGAAAGAGACAGGCACATCTCTGCCCTCAGGGGGAATGATGTTTATCAGTGGGGTTAGACAGGGTGACAGAACTCAAACAAAGGACAACAAATATAGATATAAACTATAAACACCAGCTGTGAAGGACAACTAGGGGAGAGAGAGAGAGAACCTGTTTAGACAGGGTGGGCCGGGACGGCCTCTCTGAGGAGATCACCTTGTTAAACAGTTACTGGAACAATGAGAAGGTACCAGCTATGTGAAGGTGGGTGCAGGAGGTAGGATGGTGAGTGTGCCAGGCATCGAGAACAGTGTGTACAAGGGTCCTGAGGTGGGAAGGACTTTGGCATATATATGGGATGGAAAGGAGAGAGGTATACCTGAATGGCAGCAAGCAAGGCAGATGAGTGGTGACTGGAGAGTTCAGAGAGTGGGCAGGGCCAGTCCTGCAGGCCACAGTAAGTCTTTGGAACTTATTCACAGTGCAACGGGAAGCCTTGGGAGGCTTTTAGGCAGGGGTGTGCTGTAACCAGAAGTCAGTTTTCTCCATGCTGATCTGGCAGCGGCCTCTTCTATGAATAATTCCTGCCTGAATTTCCAAGCAGCAGACTGTTTGAGGAGTTAGCACACCTGGTCTGGGGCCTAGCTCTGCCTCTCACTAAGGGTGACCTGGAGGCTTCCACTTTGCTCTTCGTCCACAGGGAATGCCATGAGCTACCCTGAGGGATGTTGCAAGGGTTAAGGGAGATCTCCCACATGCACACACATGCCTACACACACACAAGGCCTGGCTGGAGGCAGACTCTCTAATGGTAGTTTTCAACTGTTTCTTGGGGGTCTCTGTTCTTCCTCTTCCTCAGGAGTCACGCAGGTGAGCAGTGGAGAGAGGCTGTTGTCAGCAAGGGACTTGGCTTCTGTCTGAGTTTTAAAGTATTTGAATAGGGCCGGCCCTGTGGCTTGGTGGTTAAGTGCGCGCGCTGCAATGCTGGTGGCCCGGGTTCGGATCCCGGGTGCACATTGAGGCACCACTTCTCCGTCCATCCTGAGGCCGAGTCCCACATACAGCAACTAGAAGGATGTGCAGCTGTGACATACAACTATCTACTGGGGCTTTGGGGGGAAAAAATAAAATAAATAAAATCTTTAAAGTATTTGAATAAATTGAAAGATAGCACATGTCCTGGTCAGGAAAATGAAATATTATAGGATATTTGATCTGTTTAAATTAATTCGTTGGTTTAATGCAACTCCGCGTAAAGTCTCATTTTTTTTGGCACTGAACATATCTGTAACTACAGCTGACATTTACCAAGCATTTACTGTGTGCCAGGCATTGAGTTTGCGAGGCAGGTGTTATTCTTATCCCCATTTTACAGACCAAGACACTAAGGCCTTGAGGGGATAAGTGACTTGCCAACATCACAGGGCTGGTAAGTGTTGAACCTGGATGGTCCCATCTCCATAGTCAGCACTCTTAACCCCTATATGATCACCTAGAATATGTATGGACACACAAACCGGTCTGGATATCAAGTGATATTTTGAATAAAAGAAGACTCCATGGGGGGGAATTTAGCCATGTCAGATGTTACAACCTATTTTAAAGAACCAGTATTTAGATCCTTATAGTATCTGCCCAAACTGAGGTCCTTGAAAGCAAATGGAGAATTCAGAACTACATCAACCAAAATCAAAAACCTAGCATAAAAATAGATTTTACTAAACAAAGGGTAAGGGAAGAATTACCCTTACCCTTGGGTAAGGGTAACTTACCCAATGGTGGCTGCATAAGCAATAAAAGCTGGTGATGCCATCGGTGAGTTAAATCCATATCTTACTCCACACAGCAAAATAAACTTGGGCTGGGTAATCGTCAAAGAATTAAATACAAAATGAAATTTTAGAAAACTAGCAGAAAATAGACTATCAGATGGGTGGAAGAAAGCTCACTTTGTCAGCACTGAAGCGATAAAAAAAATCACAAAAGACTAGAATGACAGATTGAACATTAAAACAAAAAAGAACAATGGACTGGGAAATATTTGTGTCAATGATGATGCAGGAATAATATCTATAAAATAAAAAATTCTTATTCAAAGTTAGAAGAGGTTCAAGTACCCAACAGATGAATGGATATGAACAGATCATTTACAGAAAGGAGACTATAGATAATAAATGCATGGGAAAACAGTTTTTTTTTTTTGTGAGGAGGACTAGCCCTGAGCTAACATCCGATGCCAATCCTCCCCTTTTTTCTTGAGGAAGAGTGGCCCTGAGCTAATATCCGTGCCCATCTTCCTCTACTTTATATGGGACCCCGCCACAGCATGGCTTACCAAGCAGTGCGTAGGTGCGCGCCCAGGATCCGAACCTGCGAACCCCGGGTCACCGAAGCAGAGCGCGCGCACCTAACCGCTTGCGCCACGGGGCAGGCCCCAACACTCATTTTTAAAGTCATCTAAAAAGTGCTCAAATAACCTTGAACTACCAGTAAACACTACTAAAGTAGGAGCAAAAAAGAGATGGTATCCAACGCTTAGAAATGTGTTTTAAACTCCTTACACTTGCTCCTGGGAGGTGGCAGAACGAGTGGGGCAAGCTCTTTGGGATGGGAAAGTCCTATGGCACCGTAGACTAAGACCGATCTGCGTTCCTTAGCCTTCCACCTGGTTATTCAATTTGCAGGAATTTGTCCCAAGTGCAGACTGAAAGGATATACTAGCAAACAATTGTAAAGAACCCAAATATACCATATTAGGAGACGGAGTGAATGGATGTGGATACCTGCACACTTTAAAAATGAATCATGTGAACAAAAGAAAAATGTTAATGATGGTAGCAAACACAAGAGAAGTGTCATTGCAACTCTGTAAAGACATGTATATAGACGGAACGTTTTATGCAAGTTGCATTCTGTAGTAGTATTATGGATACTTTATTCTTACATTTTTCTTTCTTTCTCTGGTTGTCATACTGCTTTTACAGTGGTAGTAAAGAAAAAAAAAATCTGGTTTTTTCCAGCCATCAGCGTGACTCTGAGCAAGTTTGTGTGTAAAGTGGGGTAATACTTCCAGCGCAGCGCTGAGGTCAGTGGGAAGTGGCCTGAGCCCTCGCCTGGCACCCCAGACCTCCTTCCTGCGGTGGGGGCGCCTCCTCCTTCCTTCAGCGCCCTGTCCGAGACCTCTTCCCCGGACCCAGGCACTCCTGGGTCTCCGGGCGCGGGGACTCCCTTCTGGAGGGAACTTTCCAGAGCAGGCGGGGAGGGGGGTGTCCTACGGGCACCTGCGCTCGCGGGTGAAGGGGCGAGCTCGGGGAACAAAACCGCCCCTGGGCACGTCGGGTTGCGGGGCCGGCTTGCAGCCACCTTCGAGCTCCTGTCCTGACCCGGGGCCCCCGATTCTCTCGCCCGAATTCGGCAGCCGTCTTGTGTCCCCTCGCCGGGGCCCCGAGCGGCAGGAAAACTCGGATTTACAGGGCGCCTCCTGCGGAAGCCTGGAGACATCGGGTGCGCGGGGGGGGCGGCTCCGCTCTGACTTCTCAGACAGGGGGCATTTCGGTGCCCTTCCAGGTCTCAAAGGGCACGCCAGATCCCCGACGTGGGCCAGGCGGGCGGACGCAGCCCTCGCCGGCGGCGACGCGCGCCCATCTGGGATCCGGCCGCCCCTCCGTCCGTTCCTCCGCTAATGCCATCTTGCGGGAGGCGATCACGTGCGGACGACAGCAGAGCGCTTCACCCCGGCCAGGACGCCAGGACCGACCGGCGGACGACACTAGGTTCCCTGGGCTCCGTCCACAACCCGAGGTGAGGCGCCGGGGCCCTTTCCTCGTGGGTCGGAGCAGGGACAGGGTGGGCGCTGGGTCCCTGGGGGCACGTCTCCCCGACTGGCCGGTCCGCGCGGGGCCGCAGCGCCGTCGGGGGCGTGGGGCGCCGCCGCTTGCCCTGCGCCACGGCCTCACGGGTGTCCGCGGCAAGTTGTGGACTGGAGGAAACGAGGGACGGGGGCGGCTGGAGGCGCTGGACCTCCAGAACCTCAGTCCGCGGGCTCCTAGCATCCCGCGCGGCCGCAACCGGGCGGGAAGGCGCGCGGGCGGGCTCGGGGAGGCCCGGCCGGGGGGCGCCACGCGCGCGGCGTGAGGGGCGCGGGCTGCCGGGAGGAGCGCGGATGGGGGGGGGCGCGGGCGCATGCGCCCTGAGCCCGTGCCATATTGGAATGAGTCGGAGCGCGGAGCGCCGCCGCCGCCGCCTCCGCCGGAGCGCGGGTGGAGGGGGGCGGGGAGAGCTGCCGGCCGCCCCGCTCCGCAGAACCCAGCAGGAAGGCGGGCGCGAGCGGCGAGCGCGGGCGGCGGGAGCGGAAAAAGCGCCCGCGCGGGGGAACGAAAAGAAGGAAAGAAAGAAAGAAAACGAGCGCGAGAGGGAGCAAAGCGAGCGATTGAGCGAGAGCGCGCGCGAAAACTCCCGGCAGGTAAAAAAGCGGGGCCGCCGGCTGGGCCTTCCCCCGCGGCGGCCTGAAGGGGCGGCGGCTGCGCTGGGGCGGGGGACCGCGCGGCGCCCC